TCGCACATTGTTAAAGTGATTTCTTTTTTATGTTAACGTGTCAAGCATAATGACCGAAAATGTCTCGTTGTTGTGGAACACTTCAACAATGTTACGAACCGCCACTGCTCTCCTACAATCTAAAAACGCAGCCACAACCCCTTCACCCTTATCCAATGCTTGCAACAAGTTCTCAATCACCAACTGTAAATCTGTCTCAGTGCTGAGTTCTTCTAGGAAACCTGATTGACATTTAATGATGAAATCATTATTCTTAATGTGTTCCAGTAAAAGCTTGTAAGCAACTGATTCTCCATTTTAATAATCTCCTTTTTGTTGAACTTCCAGTAAAGGGGTAAAGAGTTGCGATTGAGATTTTTGAATTGTCTAGGATGAGCCGATTTGCCTATGAGTTTCAATTATCAACTGAGTTTCTATTATCCTTTCCATTGGCACTCAGAAAAAGAGTTTGTCTTTTCTTTAGCATTTCCCTCTTACACTTTTATTTCTCTTTTCAACAAGCGATTTGGTATGTAACAATCAGAAAAGAAGTTTAATTTCATCTCCCTTGAAGATGTTTTTGCTTCGTATTCTTCAATAAGTTTTGGAATTTTCTTTTCCCATTCTTCAACAGTTTTTACAATCAACAACTTTTGCGCTTTCTGAAACTCTAACCCTCTTGGACGCTGGAAATTCCGTTTTCTCTAATTTTTGCGCTACTTCAGTGGATTCTGCTTGAATCATCGGCCCGGAAATTGGCATCCCTGGCATCTTGGTATGTACTAGGACTATTCTACGTATGAAATTACGTCCAACACAGTTCCAAAATGGGCCAATTACTGAAAATAACTGAAAAAATGTTAAAATTAATGGAGTTTTCCTATAGTATATGCACGGTTTATTGCACACCAACACAGTGATCGATACATACTGTCTCCTAAGATATATGCGTCGCAGCTGGTAAGAAAAATCGAATATCGATACATTTTTTTAGATATACCGCCCTGATTGGGGCATTTTATATGTTTAATTAAACACTATTGGTTATAATTTCACGAGTAGAACTGTCATGTTAATTTCCTCGAACAAATGTTTTATCAGTTGCTTTCTGCTTTCCTAAATTCCTTTTAACCATCTGTAACACGTTCACGCCACTTGAAACATACCGTACGTTTCATAGCAACATCTCCGAAAGCCGTATTAAGCGTAGAAATATTTTCTGTTGCAGATTTTTCTAATTAAGCACAAAATTTCACAGCAAGTCGTTTCTCTTTCAGATCATTCATTTTGAAATCCGCCAAACGAAAAAATCGCACTTCACTAAAAACCACGTAGCCAATATACAAATGAAGATTTTAACAATAGGAAAAAGGCGTCATAATCAGCAGATCTGATGTTGCTCTCGTGGCCCAGTGGCAAAGTCGCTTGCCTTTCACCACTGAGGTTCCCGTAGAATCCCTGGAAAACCTCATGTGAAATTTGTTACGACAAAACGAGTTTGCCTGTTTCACGGGCGCCAGTCCAACCCCTGTGAAGTGTCCTTATTCTTATCCCTATTCCTTCCAAATTCTGGCCGATAGGCAGATGACGCAGGCGCGTGAGAGACGCGAGCGCGAAGACGCTACCTGTCGACAATTCCCTGACTTTACTATGACACATGAGTAAATTACAAAGCGGCCCCTAGAGGGCATAACGGAGGATTGCTTCAATGTGCTCAATACTCCTTAAGGAGTTAGGAGATGCGTTGCGTCTATATAGACTCACCAAATTAAAAAACGGGCTGCGTCTATATAGACGGCGACTTACACCATTCTCTCAATCGTCTGTCACACCATCCAATAACAAAGTTTAATAAAAAACGATGGAGCCATTTTTTTAAAATTTGAAATGTCCCAGGAAATGTCTCTATGTAAAGTAGCCCCCAAAATTAAAATATCGGTTTCAATACAAGGGGCCGCGACATCAGCCAGATCAATTGTGAAATATCAATTTTGGAGAAAATCGGCAGAACGGCGGAACCGCTTTCGCTGTTCATAGACAGTCGGACAGATAGACGTTTTGCCGTCATTCAATTTTTGTGTATCAAGAATCCACAAAACATGAATTATGGCTACACCACGTGTTAGAGTATATTTTTTTCTAAATTTAGCATCTGCATTTAACCACATTTTGTGTTACTAGGGTCCAACAATAAGAGTTTTTCTGCCGAAAAATTCACGGTTTTTTCCCGTAGCATTACATAATTTTATCTTCTTAAGAAGTAACTCTTAAAGGGCAAGAAAGTAAAAGACATCAGAAAAATTAGAGTAATTTTTAGTATTAAAGAAATAACTTCCTACAACATTGCAAATGTAGCGAATGAATACACAAAAATGCAACGTCTCGCCACTGGCAATAACGTTTACTAAAATTACGTTGTCGTTAACATAATGGGTTCAAATTTCTAAACGTTTCTCGTCGACGTTAACTATCCCCAGAAACGTGCTGCTTAGATTGCATCGTTTATACTTATGTACCGATCGTAAAGATTTCTGTCGTGCAGTCATCAAGGGTACACGAGTAGGACCTCGGCTCCGAAACCCGATAAGGATATCGATGTCTCGTTGAATGGTTCCCACGCTGACACTTTGTCATGGCCCAGCATTGAAATCTGCAGCAATTTGCAGAAGGGTTGCACGTTTGTCACGTGACATGATTCTATTCAGTCGTCGTCGGTCCCGTTCTTTTTGCGATCTTTTTGCGGCCGCAGCGATGCCGGCGGTTTGATGTTTCACCGAAATCCCGATATTTACGGTCCACTGGCACACTGTTTTCATTCAGATCAGCTAAATATTCTTGCTGGACTTGCATCTGTGATCGCGAGAGTGACTGTTAATCTTATGATGTGCTCGCTTCGGCGACCAATTGTCTTCTTTCAAAATCATGGTGCAATATGTCAACATTGTTTTCGTTTATTTTCGAAATCTTTGTTATTAATTTTGTTATTCCCTGAAATTCGTTTCACGATGGTCTCGACTCGACGCTAATGTTTTTACTAAAACCTCTCACCAATTGGTTGTCCATATTTCTTGCATTTCGTTATATGACGTTTTCAAAATAAAAATATAATCTACAAATGTCCACGAACCAAATTACAGATATGTTTATATTGGCATACGAATCCCCAGTGTCCCATATTGTTTATTTTGTCCTGGAACATTTGTACGTTCTCCTATTTACATCCTAATATTTGCATTCAATCCGTCCATATCCAATAAAGCTACCCAATGTTCTATTTGTAAATGTTGTGACTACTCTTTTATTTTTACTCCTAGGTCACTATTCCATACTATTTTAATCAATAATACCATTGAGATATCTGGGTATGTCTCAATATAATTCTTGTTCATGATTTCCTTGATATTTCTTTTCGTATATTTATTTTTGATTCCCCTCTGAAATGCTCCAAGAACTGCGATATCAGATATGAGATGTTGATTCTCCCCTCCCCTCCTTTTATCTTCCAGGGCTGTTAAATGCGTTTGTGGGTTTGGAGTTTCGATGATTTTCCGCCCAAATAAAATTGCTAATGCTAAGCCGTACGTAGTTTAATCAAGTTGAGCGTGTCGTATTTGTTCGATTTTTGTAGGGATTGGCAATTTTATTAGTAAGGTGACTTTTGGATACTACAGTAGCTTGGAATTCTTGACTAGATTTAATGGACAAGTACTCACTATTTTGTTTTTTCAAGCTGATATTGTTGATAAAGTTATGAAAATAATTTATTTTCTGTGCCTTCGCGAAAGTCTTCAATTCCCTGCGTCAGCAAGCCGATTTCGGTTTTTTCAGATAGTAGGTCTGCCATATCCATTGTTTCTTCCGATCCTTTCTCTTGCACCTCTGCTTCAACTTCGCCCTTGATTTTCTCTTGGTAGCCTAAATAAGCTGTTTCGCCATGGGCGATTCTTGGGAATGTCCTTTCATTATTTTAATTTACATCAATTGTCCATTGTGGCCTCCCTGTCGTGGCTCGTCTGCTTAGTAGTCCCGAGAGATGTACAAGAAACAAATCAGCATTTACTGTTGGTTGGTTCTGAGAACTGCTTTCGTCGGCTGAAATAGCTTCTGGTGTCCTGTGGATGACCGCCTGTTCAGCAACACATCAGAATCTTCCTCTCTGTCGTGGCCAGCACTAGCTCCATCCGCGCCCTGGCGCTCACGAGGCAGAGGCTTATTTTCCAACGTACACCGATTGTCCTTGGGACTCTCCATATGCCTGCTCTCCATGATGCGTAGGGCTCGGACTTTTAGGGGCTAGAGAAACGGAAAATACTTACTTTTAGATGCTTGAAAAGTAAAAAAAGTTAAAAATCACGAAAATATTGATTACCCATGTGAAAGCCAGTAACCGGGATTGAGAGAAGTTTCGAAGTAAAACGTGATGTCTTTCTCTTTATCATTCCGCAACTTTCGTTTGTGGAACCTGAGGAAGTTTGCGAACATCGTGTGTTTTGAGTGTGTGTTAACGCTCGAAGTATCATTGCCTGAATCGACAGTAGCGTTAGAAATAGCCGGGAAACATTTTGACAGATCGTGAAGCAGACTCCACTCTATCGGGGAAGTCTCACGGTAACATGTGAAGTGTGGCCTATCACTGCTTGCAAACTACCACGTCTTTCTCCATATATCCAAATTCACCAAAGTATTGAACTTGAAGATTCTCAAAATATTCATTTATTCTAATAAAATTTAGCGAAATGTGTAAAAATATTTGTTTCTCCGAAAATATTTATTTTTATGCAACTTAATCAAATTAATTAATTTCTAAAAATTAATTTTTAGCTGACAAGCAATTTGGTATATGGAAACTGTGAGGCGGTTCTTGAATTTAAACTTAACTTTCATCCCTCAAGAAGAGCTCATTCAGTGCCCAAGGGGGCAAATGTGTATTTACCTAAAAGTCCGAGCCCCCCTGATGTCAGCTTGCTTTGCCCGATTAGCTGTTACTGATAATTTAGAAGTGGTTCTCATGCCCCACGCACCTTTGATGCGCTGCGGAGCAACACTCTGGAGTACTTAAAAAACACAAATAAAAGATGTAAATGGGACAATAAACCAAATTAAATTTTTACGTATTAAGTACCTCTAATAAAAACTGTAGGGATAGAGAAATAAAATAACATGCATTTTTTCGACAGATTTCGGCCTCACCCTGCTAAAAGACAATGCCCTTGATACTGGGGACGTTTGTGTGCGGATACATTATGGTTGCTTTGGGATCGTTACAAATAGAGGTACGTATCGTATGCGCAAGAAGGCGAAATGTTTCGTATTTCCCGTACCCTCGTATTTTCCTCTATACTTTTGCCTGGATCGCACAAAACAGAATCATCACTTTCCGGATTGGACGTATTTACTCAGACTAATTAAATATAGGCGTGCGCAACGTAAAAATAGGGGTGAGTCAACTACAGTTTGGTGCACCCTTCTCCAATTTTCTGGCAGTTGCTGAAACGCACTTTTGGGCGGATGTAGAAAGGATCGATCGTGACTTTGCCGCAATTTTTCAGGAAATTCTCGAATATTTTTAGACATTTGACGATGTTTACGGTCAATTTTGTATTGTGGCCCATCTTTAGGAGTTACTATGTGAGATCGATTTGTCATCTATTTAGGATAAACTAGCGTACCTGTTAACTCTCGCATGTTAAATCCCGCCCTCTTCCCTATACTTCCATTTCCATATTAAGAGGAAAAGTAATTAACAAAAAGTGTTTATTTGTTTTAAAAATGTACACAGGTAACTTCCAATGAACAAATCAAAATAAAAAGCTATGCAATTGATGTTTGAAACAAATTTTCAATAAACGTTTTTTCAGTATTATAGACAGGTATTCTTGGAACAAATCACAACACTTCCTTAAAGACATTGGAAGCAATTATATAATCTTCCTCAACAGCTTTTTGCTTTTCTTGATAGTCACGAAAACATCAGAATAGCTTTTTACTCCTGATAAAACTACGTAAATTTGTCCATACGAAAATGCAGGATCGGGCCAGTGCAACACTTCTCTTCGTAATATTATTTTACTCTATTACGAAGAGGTACACTCGTACAATTTAAGCGCATTTAATATCAAGTAATTAGTTTAATTTTGCATAGAGTTGCAGATTCTGCACATCTCTGAACAGCGGGATAGTACCATACAGTAGCGCAGCTCAGTCCATTTTTGGGGGCTAGTTAGGGATGCGCACGCGTACAGCTAGCGATCCTGATGGATGTAAAGTAAAACCACGTAGAGCTGAAGTCAACGCGTCTAGAAAAGAACGCCCACACCGTGAAGTCAACGCCGTTTTGATTTTCAAAGGACGTTGGGGAAGTACTGTGAATTGTTTGTAAAGTTGCATTTTTAAGAACAGGTGAAGCTTTTAAAAAATAATTGAAGTTGTTTCTTGATATTTCCTTTATATGAGGTTCAGAAATTCTCGAAACAAAATATCAGTCTCACATTTAGAGGGGGAAAATTGCTTCATCTCTTGCTCTGTCGAAATAAACTTGGGAGAATTAAATATAGATTTATAGAAATAAATGCCAAGCAGTATGTTTTTGTCAATAATGCACTGGTATTTAAATGGCAGCTCACAGCTCTTGACCATGTGACTCTGCTCCGTGTGGAAGCAATACGGCGAAACGGAAACACGTCGTCGAAATCACGCCCATCAAGTGTCAGTATCAACAGCTCACTACCAGAACAACATATGTTCGTTACTTTACAACGCATTGCCAGATGACATTAAACAAATGAAGTCGGTACACATATTTAAGTTAAAATTAAACTGTTTTTTGCTGCATAACTGTTTCTACTCAATTAGAGACCACACTGATAATCAAAAATAAAAAAAAATGTTTATTTTAACGATACAGTGATATATAATGAATTAGTTTACATTTGTATTGTATAAATTTAAAAAAAAGACTGAATATGCTTGTAGCAAATAATGTATTTCAGCTTCAGGGTCAATGACCCCCATCTGGATCAGGCCTTTGTCCAGTTTCCCTGACACATTGAGCAAATGCTGAAATGATCCTTGTATTGTTTTCGGACGTGAATGTAGCTTCACTACGCGCACGTTGAACTCTCCTTCTGCTTATAGTGATAGGAGTAGAGTGAAGGGTGAGTTACTATTTTGCTAGCAGTGCAGAAAAATATAATCTGCAGTTCGTTTACTGTTGCAAGTACGTTTTCTATAACTCGGGAACGAAAATGTTCAGTTTTTAAAATGTTGCTAATCTCGATTTTTTAAAATTTTATTTTTATTTGTCTTAAACTTTTACTCATCTTCCAACTATTTACTGTTAAAAGTATGGGAATTGATTCTGGAACTCAAGAAAACGTGCGTAGATAATCTTCTTCGCCTTATGTCACATACAGCTAAATAAATCTAAATCTGTATCCAAAGAAGAGCTGCTCTGCTCGCGTTTCAACTACGCAATTTTCGTGTGAATCTTTCTGGCTCTTGAAAAGTCCCGCGTCTAAACGAGCTTGCCCACCCAGTGCTGCGCTCTGGTAGTGCCGCTGAGAGGTACTGCATTTTTAATGAAGAATATTACTCCATGTAGTTTACTCTGTGTTCGTGGATTGTGGAGAGAAATAAGTAATACTATTTTGAGAGGGAGTTACTTGAAAATACCCCTTCTTGGCCTGGATTTTTTCAGGGAGATCTTTTTAAAGGTTATTGCTAAGGTTGAATTTATTTGAGGTAAGGCGCCAAATTTAAATAAAATGCGAAAGCAATTGGTAACATCAATTTTTACTTTCCCGCACTTTCGTAAGTAAAGAATTTAATGTAATCGTGCTCCAGAAAATGGCGTATTTTCGGTACAAAAATATGTTTGAAAAACACTGAATTTGAAAGAAAGAAAAATTGGATCAATCCTTTTGCTATGTATAGTAAATCACTTCCTAACAGGTAGTGTAGCCAGAAATGTTTTATGAGTTGATATCAAAAAGTCTGACTGTTCTTCGTCTCTGGTCAATACTAGCGCCTAAACTGTTCAGCCGATTATCGCCAAAATTCATACTGCACTCTCGATGCGAATGGACTCGAGGCTTTGGGGAGTTTCAAACAGATATTGAGGGATACATTTTTTTGAGAGTACTTTACATGAAGAGTCAAAAACATTTTAAAGATTTTTTTCATAAACGGCACCAAATGTTTAAATTAAACTTTGTTGTAGGATGGCGTAAAGGACAAATGTTGAAGATATCTTCTCCGTTAAATTGTCAATTTTTTCGAAATTTGCAAAAGTGTAATTGTTGGGGGCGTCTTCCTACAATGATAATATTGATTTTTTTTTCCTGAATGGAATCTGTTTCTTAAAGACAGATCTTGAAATAAGTTCATGTTTAATTTCTCTAAAATATGGGTCGTTTTTTGTAAAATATAGGCAATATTTAATTGTTTGAAACAATTTATTTCTCTAAAACGACACCAAGTTTTTTCTTTAAATTGTATCCTCCTGTGTATCAAGAAACATAAAAAAAATGATACTACTCCCATTTTTGGCAAGCTTTCCATTTTTTCGAAACATGAAAGGAAAATAACACTTCTGAACTACAAAATTGAAGTTAGTGAGTTTTGCCTTAGACAAAGTTTGAAGTTAAAAAAACAGCTCTTTTAGAAAGATAATGTGAAATTATTTGAACAAACGGGTAGATTTCATGTAATTTGTGCCTGAAATTTATGAAATTTATAAAAATATTTTTTTCTCTAAATCCGTTCAACATTTTTTCTTTAAATTTTATGTTCGTAATATCAAGAGACAATAAAAACTATGATGCTTGTTCCCTTTTCGGTAATGTCTCTGTATTTTTGAAAATTGCAAAAACTGCGTGTTGGAAATACAGTCGACTCCCGTTATAGAGAACTTCGGGATACTAGGGGTTTTTGGTTCACTATATCCGATGATGTCAAAATTAAATAGAATTTCTCCACAATGTTTGATTTTATAATTTAGATATAGCAAAATACATTAACAGAACGAACTGAAATTTACATCTTTAATGGGACTTTGTCTATTAGTAATTTCTGTAGATCCTTTTCTAGAGTTGGTGCTCTCTCCATACGTGGTTCTGCATTGTCCACTGCCTCTACGTATCGTACGTCTTCATGCCTCTTCCACTGTTGGAACGCCGACCCACTCTCCGAAGACCCGTTTACTCGCCTAAGAACATACGAGATCCTTTCGATAGCGGGATGGCGCAAGCGGCTAATGGACCTAATCGCTTTCTGTGCGGCGCGGGGGTGGCGCCCAGCTGTGGGGCAGCGGAAGTTGCGCACTTCCTGTCGTCTACTACTAGAACGCTACGCGCTTTGTCTCGCGGAAGGTTGCACCAAGCTCGAAACTACAGCAAGCTGTCGCGCGGCGCCGCCGCCAGTTGTAGTCCACACAGGACACAGACTTTGTTTCTGAAATTTACAAAAGCTTCAATTTTCGGCGTCTTCCTACAACTTCAATATTGAAAATCGTGACTTCTATTCAAATGAAATTTGATCTGTACATTTAGTTCTGTAATATACATTTTTTGAAAGTTTTAGGATTTTCGAGTAATTGTGAGTGAAATGTTAGCAATATTAAAATATATTAAAATTCCGATTTTGTTAAAAACAGTCCAAACTTTTCCTTCAATATTTTTTAAAGATTATGATAAATGCACTGTACAAAATTGCATGAACTCAATTTTGCTATAGATTTTTTTTTTTCAAAAAGAGGTGTAATTTATAATAAATATCTCTCGTCGTTAAAATTTGCATTACCGGCGCACACTGGGGAAAAAGCCCCAAATTGGCGAAAAAGATAAAGACACAATGTTTTGGTGAATCAGGAAATACGAAAACGGTTTATGTTTAGTGAAAATTATCTATTATTGATTTTAAACATATTCCTCTGCCAGTAGCATTCGTTAGCGCACGCCATTAAACGAGAATTCTAAAGTCTTTGCGCGTCCTATATATTTCAGGTCTGATTTCGTAGAACGAACAGTAATTGAAGGTTTTAAAAAAAACAACTTTAGTCCGAAAAGTGAGATTTTGAGATATTAGAAGTGTTAATAGAGCTTCATAGCCGTCATTTGCTGTGTTTGGAGACAAGTGGATTCTTTGAAAGAAAAGACTTCAAGTAGATACGCGACTCCTGATGTCACAAATGTTATTAGCGTGCTGGTACTGGTTCTTTGGCGGTGCGCTCTGGCATTCAGTCCCTCAGGTTAGAGAGACGACGGACTGAGTAGTACTCAAATGCAGTTTTAGTATTTTTTGTAATAGACCTTTGCATTTTGTTTCTTCACCTCACTTATGGCATTCTTGTATCGAAGGTTCAAGAAAAAAAAATCTTCAAACTAAGTAACGGTTTGGTAGTTTGAAAGGCAAAACGCGCTCCAAAACTGATGAAATTTGGTTGCACATGTTTTGTTCCTTTTTTTATCGTGTTTCACAGGACGTTCTTTCCCCCCTCCCTCCAAAACAACAATTTTTCCTTAATTTGGCCGCGCGGCGCAACACCATCCACCCGCAGGTCGCTCGCCTAACCACAGATAATGTCGAACCGCTGTCAATCACCTGGCGGCCGCGTAAATAAGGGAAGGGCGAGCGCAGCAAGCCCGGCCCTGGCGGCCCGGACCGGCCGCACGGCAACCCCCGCTGCGCTGTCGCCCTGCGCCCCCATCGGCGCCCCCCCCCCCCCGCCCGCCGCCTGCTCCTCGCAAGGCACGCGGCTCCCCGGCAGGTCGCCGTTCGGATGGCACGGTTACGAACATTGACGTTATAAACTCGGGAAATGAAACGCCAAAAAAGATCCCAACACATACGGGCATCGTTCCGGTTTAGAACGTGTACAAAATTAATAAATGAAAAGTCTCACACTCATCATCTAATTCAGTCTAATAGTTACTGAAGTGCATTCTCACTTTCGTTGATAAGTTCGCCATAGAGACCCCTTTCTGTACTCAGCGTGTCGATTTTCTCTTCGTCAGCAGATTCCCATTACAAATCGTACTCAGTCAGAAGCTTTTTAGTAGTAGTAGGTGAGTTTGTAATTTGGCGCGTGCTTCTACAGTAAAAAACGTAACCATGCTGAAGGAGGCTTTTCCTTTATCGGAATAGTACAACAGTGTCCGAATGCCCTATTCAGTGGGAATCAGCCAATTGCAGAAATAACGATCGCTGATCTGAACGATATTCTTAGACCGTTGATAGTTCGGGGATCGTCTTATAGGACAGATATATGCTAAGACTATGAAAACTTGAAGAAAACGTAGACCTCGTCTTATCTGGAGAAATAAAGGGTATGCGGTAGCGTAGAAGCGCTTTCCGCCTTTGGGTATCGGGTCTCGAATCCCCGAAGATCTTTGGTTAATATCTAAAGAAGGGAATCCATTTATACCGCGCGGATCGGCACGACGCGCGAACCACCGGCCGAAATGTTTCGTGTTTTACGAAACCGAGCAGCGTCGCGTGCCAAAAGGAAAGAGCGATATTTGAGTGGAAATGATTTAAAAAATTTTAACTTTCCCTATGATTCTCGCAAACCTGCTCATATTTTCGAAAAATTGAAACTGATCTTATTTAAAGATCTGCTTTTGATGGTCAGATTTCATTAAGGCAATAGTTTTTATGTATTGTAATTGTAGATATATACCGAAAAAATTTAAACTTTTGCAAGTATCCCAATAATATAAAATTGACTACATAAATAATTTATATTATACAATTTTCCAAATAATTAGGGACGGAAACAAAATATGTTTTACACCATTTCGTTATGCGTGGTTTGCTCTGAGAAAAAAAATGGAAAAAATAGGAAGCATTTTTTGACAAAATTAAAAAGTTGAGGCTTCATATAAACTACCCCCCCCCCAAATAAAAATATCTATTTCAAATTCAAGGGGTCGCGACATCAGTCAAATCGATCGGGGAATATCAATTTTCGTGTTATTTACCAAATGCCCACAACTACAATATTGAAGATAGACATTTTATTCTTAATGAAATATGTTCATTAAAATCCCATTTTTAAACGTTGTTTAGTTCAATCAGTTTCTCGGAAATTGTGGACTCTGGACGAACGGGTATGTTCAAATCAATAGTTATCGCTACATCTTGCTTGCCCGTTTGGTAGAGCCCGTGTATAACTGAATCGAAGCCTGAAATTTCGTACAGACCGTTGTCTTATCGCGCTTACTGCACCCCGCCTTGAAATATACACCCCTGCATCAGCAATACAAAATTCCGAACCCTTTCACGAAATCCCGCCCTCTCAAGCTCAATGGGAATACTCCTTTAGAATGTGACGAGACCAATCTATGGCACTTGCTCTCAGTCATTTGAGTTCAGTCACGTTGGATGACTTCTTGTTACCGGATACGTCGATTACTTGGGTCATTCTTCCCGTACGTGTATATCCCAGGAGCTGGCGGCGTTCCTCATGCTGGAACGTAAGATCCAGGTCTAACTACTTGTCAAGACAGTGGCTGAACTCGATCTGGCAATTTTGGTCAATGTCCAAAATTTCGCCACCGTCGGGCCTAACGGTCAGTGACACTATAGAGCCAATGTACTGTAGTTAATATTTTTAGTAGGAGATTGGTCGTCCCAACCCGCTCTGATCCGTCACTGGCTGTTGAATAATACTGTCTACGTGTTTCTCGAAAAACATTTGGTAATCTATATACCTATCTTATATTTCGTTTATTACGGCGAAGACTAATGATCAATTAGGTCAGAAGAGGTAGAACGTCAGCTGTTCGGAGTTCATTTTAAGCTCGGAACAGCCATATTCTGTGTTCGAAAATTTGAAAATGCTCGTGTGGGAGCATTTAAACATGAACTTTTATTTTACACATTTTCTATTGTTCGTACATGATTTTGAAAAAATAAATAATACATGTAGTACATGTATGAGTTCTTTATTAAAATAAATTCCTTGTTGCCTAATAATTATAGAAAAATCAAACGTCGCACTTATACTGTGTGATTAGGGAGTATTTTGCTTTATTATTACTACAAGTTCAAAGAAAAAATCGAAAGAAGAAAATAAGAAAATTAGATTTTAAAATTATCCCTTATTTCACTGAAAATTGCTATCAATATTATCAAAAAACTCAATATTTTCGAAAAAAAAATGTATAAGACCGTTACAACTAATTTTAAAAACATCTCATCTGAGTGAAGAATGAATTTCATCTGAGTGAATAATATATTTGAACGAGGGGGTCCAATACTTTAATACTTTATTGTTGAAAATCAGTTCTACGTCATCTTTACAAGTGTTTTTCACTTTATTCTTACTATAAATGTAAAGAAAAAAATATGATTTTTTTAGAACATTTTGAAAATTTCCCAGAGTCTTCATGAGAAGTATCGCAAAATTCAATGATTTTTTTTTCAAAATTGCTTTTAGTCGAGCCGAATCGATCTGGGAATATTTATTTTGACAAACTTACTGCAAACGGTTTAGGCTCGTGTTGTTCACAGACGTACGTTCTGCAAAAAATACTTTTTTGGCGTCAGGGAACCCTAAATCGAGTATTTCCTTTTGAAATCTGGAAATCGATTTTCTGCACCATTACATAACTTTCTCAATAGAATGTATGTTACTCTATACGTGCGTATAAGAGAAAGTAAAAACTACTTTTTTTATCCCTTTCTATGTAGGAATCCGTCGCTAAAATTGTCACTACTTATTTCTGAAGTTTTCAACATTTCGTAGTAAAATTTTCAAGTGGTTCGTTGTGTTAGATTCCTCAATGGCCCTTATGAGCATTAACTAAGTTTATTTCCAGGCAAAGTTAACATTTTATTTTTTTATTTTTAGGATTCTGGCGTTTTACCGATTCACCGCGGAGACATATTGATGTTATTTTGTGAGTATGAAATATTCGATGTAGTATTTTTTGACGAGGTATTTTACTGTCGTAGAGCGTTAAGCACACTCTGAGGAGATCAAAGGTCGCTACGTTAAGCAGGGGATTCTCGAAGGGGGCCGCGGAGCTCTAGAAGGGTGTGAGGAGAAATGAAGAGGCGAGGGAGGTGAGAGAAGGATGTTCATCCAATTTATCCACGAAAGAACACTGCCTTCATTAGTTTAGTGACTCTCAGAATTCAAAGACGAGCTAGGTAACAAAATTATTTCTGATAGCATATGCCGTCTTAATGAGTATTCATTATTATTCTTTAAATCAATATTTTTAATATTTTTAATGAAAAAATCATCTAATCAAAACTTTAAAAAAATCATAAAAAACAGCAGACTTACTAGCAGGTGGTTATGAATATTTAATAGAAATATCTTCAAATTAAAAAATAATGATTGATGGATTCCTATTGCTAACTTGGAGAGAAATTAATTGATAATACTCAAAATTATCTAAAATATGCAGCTTTTGGCATTAGCAACCGCTATTTCGCGATTTTTCCCCTCAAAATGTCTAGTCCAAAAGCAAATTGTCGCGGAAAGGTGAATTCAGAACCTCAAATGAAAATTCAGATATCAAATGTTATACCAAATTTTTCAGGAGATATTAAAAAAAGTAACTGCCCTACTACTTACTAGTAAGCAATGGTCTCATCTAGAAACATCTTAAATGAATTTACAATTGGCTTCAGTATATAATTTCGGGAGTCGTAAACGTGAGAGCTTAGCTGTTGCGTTCGTGTTGCCTCTGGCGCCTCAGTGGCCACGCCCACCCCCGCTTCTTGTCTCTCAAATGTTTATTCTTCCTGTTCAACATAAATGCTTTCCAAACGGGTTTAAAATACAAGTTTCTTGTTACAGTAATATTTTTGAAACGATTCTCGAAGTCTTATGGCTAGCAATGTTTATCCGTGTGAGGTATGTTTATAAAATAAATTATTTGATATTGAGTATTAATTTATATTTCATCTCAGTTTTACTTTATGTAAATTCTTAATAAATTTAATTTTTGTTTTCAACAAATTTCGTGGTAGGCGACGAATATCTTTTGAATATCTTGAACGTATACAGCTCCCTGGTTTTGTTTTCATAAACGAAATATATCGGCCCAAATGGTATATATTCAACAATGCATCAAGATATTTTAGTATTTCAAGAATGTTACTTTATGTGTTTGAAACATTAATGTGATTGAATTTCAGTGGGTAAGGACATTAATATCGACCTATTCGGTAATTATTTTCGCTTGAGATTTCTTCACGATTGATTTTTATCCTTCTTTTTGGGGTCCGGTTTTGAAATTCAAGTAAGTTGCTTTGCATATTACGAAAAGCTATATTTAAGAAGTAAATAGTGCTGTGTCGGCAGCATAGAAGGCTGAGTACGGTAAAATCCCCCCAATATTGAGGCTTTTGACGATTCTTTTGGAGAATTTTGAAGTAAATACTGTAGGTATAGGGGACTTCTTCCACCCCTAGGATTAGGGATAGGAAGGCGCCAAATTTATAAACAAAATGGTTCTACAATTTGCAATGTACATGATACAATCGCAGTGGGCGTAGAGACAGGGGCGATGTGGGTGGACGTAACAGGCAAAACCAGAGGTGCGGTTGGCGCGGGGCAGAATTGTTGAATGGACCCCGAAATTGCCAAAAAATATTTAATTGCATTTAAAAACGAGCTATTTATTCTTTAATGAAAGAGTAGATTTGTGGCCAGGCATCCACAAATTGTTAATACTGCTCACCAACAGAATTCTCGCCCTGTGACCTTTGCCCCAGTGTTGACGTCATTAAACTATCATCCGAAGTGTTTCAACTCATAGGAATCATTCAGATGAGTGCATTCTATGAAGAACTGGTTAGCGCATCTCATTAACATTCTGAAGGTAGAACTTGAGGTGGGGGTCAGGGAACAAGAACTTGGGTTAGAATGGCACCACTGCTGTGACACATTTCACATTCCTAGGAATTCTATGCTAGAGTATAGGCAGGAAAAGTATTGACATTACCTCAACAAAACGATTTCGAATTTTCAGTTGTAAAATTAGTGTTTAAAATTCTTTTGGTCTGCAACTTCGCATACATCTAAGGATTAAGATCTAATATTAGAAATGTGGTTAAGATTGGGGCAAGTGAAGATGAGATTCGCGCCATGGTAATATAAAGCTATTGGTTTGTAACTATTATAATGTTAAATGTATCTATTATCTACTATATTAATCCCCCTCCCCGATGCATTTCATATTTTGTAATTTCATTTGCTATTGGTTTGTAAGAATTATAATTTTAAATGTATCTTATTTATATTACCCCCCTTTGAATTTTATATTTTGTAATTTCATTTGCTACTGGTCTTTATATTAATTTCCCCCCTTGCATTTCATTTTTTGTAATTTAATTTGCTAATTATTATAATTTTAAATCAATCTATTATTTATATTACCCCCACTTTCTCTTATTTTGTATTTGCTTTGTATTTTATTTATAATTTTTTGTTTAAATTTGTAGACTGATGATGACGTAAAGTTGTCGAAAGCAAGCTCTTTAAATAAATATATTAAGTTGACGGAATTTACGTCTTTTATTTTTTCTTTAAATGATTACACGAGATTCCTTTTTAATTGCAAAATGGAGAAAGTATCACAGTAGTAGCTAAACAGTTACTGAAAATTGACAAATATCAAGCAAAAAATATAATTTTTTAATAATTGTTTATGTTGTTACAATACGTTTTAACCTTTCTTACGGAGAAGAATTATGGTGTTTTGTTGCCAACCTGTAAGCATTTCCTCTGCTTGTAGAATAATAAAAATCTTTGTAATTGGTTTGGTTAGTTCTTTGTTGCCTAATTTCAAATATTTGTTTAGAATATTATCTTCTCCTGGACTTTACTTTTATTTTAATTATTTTATTCCTTTTCTTATTTCGCTTGAGAGAGTTTCTGGCACAGTCCTGCTTGTGTGTAGTGTGAGTCCGTAAACTCGCGAGGTGACTTCCGATTTTCTGGCATTGTTGTTTTGTGTAGATTTAAAAAAAATATCTTCCCTTATCTATTATTTATCTTCGATCTTTGACGCTTTGACCGTGTTTAAAACTTTTTAATCCACATGATTACTGTGTTTAATCTACTTTTTGCTAGTCGTAGTCATTTGAGCTGTTTATAATGCCTATGTTTTCTCTTCATAATTTCTTATGTCCCTTCTTATTGATATTTTAGTTTCCTTCTTTATTTGTTCATATTGGCGGGATGTAGTGTGCAGCTCCCTTTGCATTTCTAGTTCCTGTCTTGTTTCTATTAGTATTGAAATTTCGTTGCTAAGTTTTTTTCTTAATTCTGGTTTCCCACGTGTCTAGACTCTTACGGTTGATTTGATGCTTTTCTCTAGAATTCTATATCTCTCGTGGAGTTGTTCGCCATTCCTGTCATTTCTTCGGTTAATTTTTGTCCTACCATTGTTTTGTATTTATTCCTATAAATGCTATCATTCTTCATTGGTTTATTTTTATGGACTTGTTTTTTATTATATGTGCATTCTAACAATTGTTAGAATCACTTAATGAAAAGTATCAAATTTCAAGTTCTTAAGTCTATTTAATTTTTTTACTCTCCCCTCAGGTCCTCTCCTGATCCATTCATCCGTCCATGATTTTTTGAAAAAGAAATTGTCGACAATTCTTAGATTGTGTTACTAAGCGAATTCTTTCAACTTGTCGCTTTCTTTCTCCTAAGCAGTTGGGCTCTACATAATTCTCGTTTTTTTTTCTTTCCGACCAATTTTACAGTTAAAGTCACCCAAGATAATTAAACTCGAAGCATTTTTACCTAGCGTGCCAACTTCTTCGTAAAACGTAAGGCGGCGATGGTGAAACGAGTACCGTATTGGACTGTTATACCCAAGTTCAAATTTGATGGAAGCTGTAGATATTTAAGAGCGAAAAAATTGCATTTTCTTGTGCGTCTGTGACTGCTACTGTACAATTTTATAGTTCCAGTTTTGCGACTGTTGTTCTTTCTGATATCCCAATGATGTCCTCGACTTTTTTGGGATTAAGAACCCTACACCATTCTTGCCTTTGCTTTCCTCGATAAAGCTGGGTAGTTTTCCACCTGAAAATTTCGGTATGTCCTTTCTTTTTATGCGTACTTCACCTGGTCCAAATATGTCTACTTTTACATTTTTTAATGCTTGGAAGAGTTCTCGTCGATCTTCACTCATCAATGTTCTGGTATTTAGGATTGCTATATTTATTTTCTGTTGTTTGTGACCTTTGTTCTCTCTTTTTTCTCACACACATAAACCAGGAACTTTTTCTAGTGTTTGGTGAGTTATTACATTTTGTTCAATGTCCATCAACATACATTTTTTTGATATTCTCTTTTTAAATTTTTCCTCTCTCTCTCTCTCTCTCTCTCTCTCTCTCTCTCTCTCTCTCTCTCTCTCATTTCTTGCACTTTCTTTTATGGCAGCTTGGATTAGTTTTTCTTGGGCATTCTTGCTGACGTTTCTTGGTTACCTAGCTTGCTTTTGTGATTCACTATTTCTATTTTTCATGGAATTTCCTCATGCCTACGCTTATTAGGCTCAACCTTTAGCCTTGCCCCATGAAGTAGGCCAACCAGTAAAGGGAACAAGACAATAACTCCTCAATACTGACGAAAAGTGAAATTAAGGAAATGGAAAAACAAAGCGAAGAGTTCTAAACTGAAATAAGCAACTAAATAAAGTCTAAAAGAAAAAAATAATCAAGAGGAAGAAAAACAGCCAAGAAGATCTAAAATCCAACATCAAAGAAATAAAAACGGATGTAAATAGGTTGGAGAAAGAAACAAAAAATAAAATCTAGCCTAGGACATCATTTACAACACCTGAAAGAGAAAGAAGAAAATAAAATAAAAAGAGAAAAGAAGAATTATGTGATTATAAAAATAGAAAACAACAACCTTGCAGCCAGAAAATAGAAATAAAGTGATAAATTTGGCACAAAGGACACTGAAAAATATGGGAGCGAACGTACGTTGGGTTTAATGCTCGTAAAATATTTTTCTACGACAATGAAGTTGAGTGTTTATGTCAACGTCAACACGAACTGACTAGGAATGATGCGAGCGCAGCACTGGCTATGGCGGGGGGTGGGGAGGGGGCGGAGGTGCCTGCCGCATGCACAGGCGTGCGGAATGCGCCCTCTCGCCCGCCCGCACGCACTCGCGGAGGCCTAGCGTGGAGCACGACGTCGTCGGGCCGGGGGGGAGGGGGAGGGACACAGTAATAATTAAGAACCTCCTCTCGATTTCCAGTCGTACGGAAAGGCTGCGGTGAGCGATGTATTATCATTTGACAATTGTCCGCCGCACGCCACGGCCGCCACGCCACGCCACGCCGCGCCACGCCATGCCACGCCACGCCAGCCACGCCACGCCACGCGGCGCCGCGCACGTGGGCCGCGGCGGACACCACGCTAGGGCGCTCACGAAGACCCCGCGGGGCCGCAGTCGCCTCCCCTGTGCCGTATGGTGCGTGCCGCCGCCGCCGCCGCCGCCGCGGCCTCGAGTCGCCGGCCGACTTGGGCCGCGAGCGGAGCGCCATCCGCGGTCGAACATGTCGCCCTCGCGCCTCCTCGCGGACGGGCCAGTGAGGGCCCCGCGCACGCCTCCCGGTGGCAAGTGCATGGCTTCTGGACGTTGGTGGTCGAGTGGTCGAGTGCTGTGGAAAAGTGAAAGAACTGCAAAGTTATGTTCTGGCCAATTTGAAGTATTGCTCTACCTCAAGTTGGGGAAGAAGATTCTGGACTGATACGTGTAGTACATGTTACTTTGTTTGAGAGAGGAAATGTCACGGGCATTTATTTTGTTTCCTTCTCGCCTTACGTCGTAGTGACTTTTCTGAGGCCAACGTTCATGATGTGCTATTTCGTGATGGTGCTTTGGTTCCTGGAACGTTACGCTCAGCTTTCACTTTGAGTTTTTCACAAGTGTTTGCTTCGGCACCTCCACCAACAGTCTGATTATGTGATATTTGCAATTGAAAAAGTGGATTGGATACCTTTTTGGACACTACACTAATATTTGTCGATAAATGGAACGTCTTCAGCGCAAATTAATCAAGAAAATAGTGTCTTTGAGATGTACCAGAAGATACACTTGCTGTCGAGAAAACTCTACTCGTTGACCAGAATGTAAGTGATATTGAAAATCTTATGGTGCTGCTAATGACTATGATAAAAATATTTGGTCATTTCCTGCATCTAATTAATTTCTTACTATGTTCAAATTGAATGACAGAAGTAATGGATTTGGATATTTTGTCAAACAATAATAACACTATAAAATGGGATTTTGTTGCAGACTCACTTTTTCAAATTTAATCTTAATATTTATTTTTTTAATTGACAAAATATAACATGAAATAATTTGATATAATGATGAAAATGAAATAATTTTGTTTCGTTTTACCATTTACGCTGTTGCTAATGCATCCTTTACCACGTATTTTCGTGTGTTTTATGTAGGGAAATTAGTTTTAGTTCTTATTCTAGAGCTTTTTTATAGCATTTAAGTCCATCTTTTGTTATGTAGTGACATAGAAAAATGTTGCAGCATTAATTTCCTCAAACTTCAAAATTATATTCAAGGTATTTTCATTCCTGAGTTCGGGGATGAGTTAATATAATATTGGAAAACAATTTTATAGTAACTATGGCCTGTTCGATATTTTTTGTATTAAGTAATTTTACATATTTGTAATGGTTTTCTTTCTACTGAATCTAGTTCTAATAATGTTCTAAATATAATCTTTCTTCTAGATTTGTATCTTACTAATTTTCTTAATGAAATTGATGTGGATTTTCTTCGCAAACATTTCATGAAATGTATTTTATTACCCATCGGACATATGGTTGAACATTGCATTTGTGGCCAGAACAACTTCAATACATTAATTTATTGGCATAATCGTTTTCTCTCGAGAAGTTCTGCCTCGATATTAGCGCGTGAATATTTATTCTATTGCATTCATAGAAGAGAATTAAAAATGTCATGTGTGCTTATTCATCGTGGTATATACTCGGATTGACATGAAATTTTGCCAGCTTGATCAACACCGTTCAAAACTCATAAATGTATTTTTTAAGTGCTACGAATCACTGTTTGTAATGTTTTTGCGACAATTAGTATCGAGACCTTTCGTGACCTTTCTGCCTGCTGAAGCGCGAAAGTCCCTGCTCGCCGCCGCCCTTCGGCCGTGACCCCTGAGCCGCGCCGCCGCCGCTATCGGCCTCTCTGTGTGCAGGGTCTCTGTGACTTCGGAGGGCTTGTAGGGTGACAAATACGGGTGTTTGCATGGCAGGTTCGGAAAGACCAGGAGGTTCAAGACACGTAAATATTCCAAAATAATTATTGAATAGATGACACACTGAACATATTATCTCGATTTAGGATAAATAAATAAATAAAATAATTTATCTTTTGAGATGAAAACAAAATTTTCGCAATAAAGGAGTCTAACAAAAAAGTGTCTAAAACATAGAATGTAACACACGCACCGTATGTAAGTGTCTTTCTCAGTTATCTTAAAAAGGGCGTTGGATTGCGATATCCTTACACGTGATTTCTGTAGAGTTATTAAGAACGCTTGTCACTGAGCACTTCAAACTAACAAGTGCGACTGTTGCCATGTGCCGTAACAAAAGAAGCGCGGTACGAATTCTGACCCACGTTGACAGACGACACGTAAAGTTCCTCGCACTAACAATGCATCGCAACGCTTCACCCGCGGAAGGAGCGGATGTCACGTAAGATCCTGATGCAAAATGCCCCTAAAACCCCATTTCGAATATTCGCTAGCACTTCAGAGTTTGTCTCTGTGGGTGTCGCGTGGCGCAATGTCGTGTGAGTGCGAGTGGGCGCGGCGCTGTTGCTGCGCAGATCTGACGGTGGTGAACGAGTGCGAGGACGCGGTGCAGGTGGAGGCGCGCGGCGAGCACTGCTGCGACTCGCTCTTCCCAGAGGACCCCACCGCCTGCGAGGTACTTCACTTATTTATTTAATTATTTATTTATTTATTTATTTATTTATTTATTTATTTATTTATTTATTTATTTATTTATTTCATTTATTTGAATGAAGATAAATAAATCGAAATAAACATTTCGTATAATTATTCGAATTTCAATAGCAAACTCTTTTATGACGTTTCTATTCGAGAAAGGTTTTCTAAATAAATCTATCTTTAACTAATTACATAAACTACTCTTTCTTGACAATAGATTGTTTGCTAGATATGACAAATAATAATATGTAATTTCATAAGTAGGATTAGGTTTCCTAGGACTGACAGGTTAGACCCTGAAGTTACCATCTTTCCAAAGTTAAGGACGATACACTTTGTTTGTAATCAATTTTACAAGTAACGTTGAATCTAAAACTTTTCAGGGATCTTACAGGTGGTACATTCAACTGGGCTGCAATAGAGCTATAGTGATAATCAATAAATTGGTAAGATAAATGCATTCTCATTGTAATTATTTTGATATAGATCTGAATTATTTTGATAATATCTCACGTGTGAATCAAATTCTTTCACTGTTATTTAGAAATATATATTACTAGCGTACCCGTGCGAGACCTCACGGAACTCACTCTGAGCCAAAAAATAATAAAACTAATATATTCACCTGCGAGAAGTAAATACCGTTTGTTACTATAATTTATTTTTAAAAAATAGTTAAATTTCATTTTTAATTCATGTTTAAAAAAAAAACCCTTGAACTGTGTTGTTCATAAACGTGTATTGATTTAAATTATCAGATCTTGAAATTTGAAGAGTGAGCGATAAAAACAGACAAATACATTTTGAATAAGAATAAAATGCACGTTTAGTATTTAGTAGATATGTATGGTGTGATATTCGCGCAAGTTTTCTTGAGCTCTCGTTTCGCTAATTGTAAGAGGAGTGGGGAGTTAGGTTATTTTGACAAAAATAATTGTATGTCACATTTGTAGTTCTTTTTGCGATGCAAAAACTTTCATTACCCGGGAATGAGCATTTATGGTTATCACATTTTTGTCTACAACACTCTTTTCTATCATTTATTCTTTATTCAATCAATGTTGGCAAAGGAATAAGGGTAGACATTCCAACATGTGGTCGGTTTCCATCGTAGTTCCCTCTACAATTAAGTACAAAACACTTATAGACCACGGCAAAACGTTAAATGAATGGCTGCACTATACGCTGAGGAAACAATCTTCATAGGTATCGAGGAATTATTAATAATTGTTGCTACGAGAGCGAATCTTGAATTAATAATTATTCAAATAAACCTCGTCAGTGTGAGCAAACCACGGTGTACTCATAAAGCGTGAATAGAATAAGATAGAGGAATCTAAGCGTCCTAAGCATGACGTCACAAAGATGATCACCATCACCAAGAATTTGAAATATAGGTGGTATTGGTAGAATTTGATATAAAAAGTACTGAACCACCAAAAATTCAATAGAATGTCCAAGAATATCTCATCCGTAGATTACAATGTGAGGAACGTTTCTCTGAGCCTTTTGCCTCAAAATTTAATTTTTATGGTTCTAAAACGCTTTGTTTAGGAATTACATGACGATTTAGCTGACGAAGTCGTGTGGGTTGCATTTGCCACGAATATGTAGATGCGTTTTTTAAACAAATCCTTTATATTTTTAAATTCGAAGTGCAATTCGTCATGTCTTCGTAAAATTATCTTTCTTTAGAGTCCTCATGTATAAAGATCGGTTGCGTATGAGAGCCGCAAAAGGTAAGGATACTGCTGAAATAATGTAGGAGACGATTAGCTCAACCACGTTGTAGTCGTAACATTGCGTAAAATTGACTTGTTTGCCCAAAATATATCCGAAAAGTAGTATTCAGAATTTAAATAAGTAGAGTTAGTTGCAATACAACGTACTTAATTCAGTAAGCGACAGAGATTAGGAATGGAATGTTGTTCTCAAGGAAGTTCTTTTAAGAGTTAAAAAGTTGTCACCGGGGGGGGGGTATAAAGGGAAAGGGACTTTGAATGATCCCTTGATGTTCTCTCCTGCTAACATGAGTGACTCTTTCCCCACAGATCATGAGGCTGACGGGCGGGCACATGGGTCTCTTTGACCCGCGGGAAAGGCGCAACATCACCTTATTCTTCGTAACTCCCGTAAGTACTACCTCAACCTAACAGCACGTACGTATTATCTCATAAGTACTCTTTCACTTCTTCGCAATCTTTTGAGGAAACAGTGTCCCAGTTACTTATATTACCATAATTTCAACGCAATTAAGAATTTAAATGGTTTTAATCAAACATTTGTTTGGAGAATATGAGCATAACAGAAAGTTTTAAAATTTTCTCTTTTATCCTCTGCCACTGTTTAATTGAGTCAGTTATTTAGAGAGGCCACGTTACTAATCTTTGCTCAAGTGTGTCAGCTCAGCACTAGATTTATAATTTGCTTCCAGCTTTGTTAGTACTCGGGTAGATGCCGCATAGGCTAATCTACAAAGTAATAGTTGTGGTTCTCTGCCTCTCCTTTGGAGTCGACGCGCTTTCCATCATTGCGTGCCAAACAGATGATCAAAATTACAGATTTAAGTAAAATTCTAGGAATTCTTAACCAATTAGTAACCTTATTCCCAATGACCTAAGATTTGCCAAGCACTAAAATAATCATTTTTAAGAGACGAAATGCTTTTTTTCTATTGATAATGCAGCGACGCAGTACATTCAGATCAACAGCCATAGAGGCGAGCATTAAGGCAAAGTCTTATGATGGAGAGTGCCGGCAATTGGAGGATCGCGGTTTTGATCCCGGCAAGTGGCGAGGAATTAGCTTGATGCAAGGGGCCAAGGACCGTGCTCGATTTCCCTTCCCTTTCTTTCCCCTCCTCGGGGGTGGGAGGAGAATGCCCCATATCGTGCCCATACTAATCGACATAAACGCTGTAGATATTATTACTCCGAAGTAAAAAGTCAGTATGCGACGGATAACAATCTTGAATACATTCACCAACGTAATACATTGTACAGATTCGTTACAAATGTTTTTTAGCTTCATCCATAAAATCAATTTATCGATAATTATGCGTTAAATAGAAATACCTATGTCTCTTATTTTGTCATGTCTCAGTTACAACCATCTATTAGCTCCTTTTACGCGAGAAAAATGTCTTCTCTCTTCAAGAAACACTTATCAAGTCTTGCTCTGTAATAGTTTTATGTTTTGTTCTTCTATATCGTCCTTAAGAAAGTTAAATTTTCTAAGCGTATGCTTTTTTCTAGCATTTACGCGAAAATTCTTAGTCAAATCAGTGACAGATTGACTATATGTGTACACGTGAATAGACTTCTTTACAGAATAATCCAGTCTTATTTCCTCAATCCGTTCCTGTTTCCACTTTTCTGCACATATGGTTCCGGATGAAGCGATTAATTCAGCCTCCATTGTTGATAGTGCCACCATTTTTTTCTCTTTTATTCTTCCAGCTTAAAGTATTCTCACCGCACTTGATCTCGTAACCACCGTAAGATTTGCTATCTTTCGTGACGCTCCAAATGGCATATGAATAAACTTCTAATTTCCATTTCTTGATTTTTAGGTGTCATTTTATACTTTTCGTTTTCTGAAGATATCATAATATCCTCTTCAGTGCTTGGAGATGGTTTGAGCCAGGATCTTTAGAAAATTGCGAAAGCTTACTGTAGCTGTATGCAATATCAGGTCTCGTAGCCGATACTACGTATCTTATAAATTCTAATATTTGCTGGTACATTACGGAATCTATTTTTCAAAGTTCTCGTCTTCAAAGTCTTCTAACTTTGTCCTAATAACTCCGGGCGTGGATACCGAGTAACTTTCATTCATCCAAATTTGTCCAAAATTTTTAATATGAATTCTTCTTGATCTAAAGTAAACTTGTGTTCTGATTTCTTGATCCTTATTCCGAGGAATGTAACATTATCACCGATATCCATTCGTTTGATGGGAAGAATTTTACTTGTTTTATAAATTTCGTCTATAATTAAATCATTTTCGCCTATGATTAACTAAAATGAAACAGCCAGGAATTGTGTTTTTTTTACTAATACATACACATTTTGGCAAGATTTTAGTCCACATTGCTCCAATAATCAGATTATTTTTATTGTCTTTTGCTCGATGACAAAACTCATCACAAAATTTGATCTTATGACAACATTCTTCATTGTGTTCGCGATTCTCTTTCAACTCTAATACTTTAAACTCTCCTATTATGTCTAGCCTTTCCTATATTTAGCCTTAAAAACATTTGTTTCTCCGTGAAAATATTGTGTTCCTCGTAACCTCGTTCCTTCAAGTGTAACTACAGATTCTTTCATTTGCTCAAATGAAATATTAGGATTCGCAAATAAATCTGTAAGTACTTCATCGTAGTTTTTCAGAAGATCATTCAACATGTATCAATTAAGTGTCGTCAATACTCGTACCAAGTTCTTGTATCTTGCATCTTATTCCTTGAACTCGTGTTAAAAAATACGTGATTGTTTGTCCTCTCTGTATTTCTATTTTTGCAAGTTTAATCCTTAAAGTAATTAGTTGTTTGCGTAGATGCTCCCATAAATCCTTCTCGTCATCCAATCCTCGGCAAGCGATGAGTTGTTCGTCCGACAAAGCGATAAACGCCTGTCCGACGGCAAGAGTCTAACATCTCACAGTGAACTCAGTAAAGCCAACAACTACTACAATAATAATAATAATAATAATAATAATAATAATAATAATAAAGACAAAAAATATGATAGAAATTGTGAAGAGACCAACCGCGCCATGGACAATATCTAAAACAATGGGCAAGGTGAAGATCTATGAAGATCAATCATTTATGTGACTTAAAAGGGGAAAAATGAAGCCAGAATCGGAAGCAGTTGCAGTAGCTGACCGCGAGCACATGTTGAAAACACGTCATTATGACAAAGCGGTTCTCGATATTTTCCAAGATGATAAACGGCGCTTTTACCAGGAACAAGTAGCAACCATTGTTCATACGAGTATCGTCTCAGATTGTCCAATTGTAACAGAGGCGAAATACTTGAAATGATAAGATACTGTGTGTAGTTACCTCCACTGGTAGATCGAAGTTCCAAACACATTCTTCAAGTGGTTCGAATGCTCATCGAAACCGGTGACGTCTGTCGGACTGTGTACAATATTGTATACAACCAAGAAATTCCAACTGATCGCACGATAGCGTCAACTAAACTGGATATTCTTATCCAGGACTTGGAGAAAAAAGTGTTTACTTACAGATATTGCTGCGCCGTGCGATCAAGGAGGCAGAGATACGTCTTAAAGATTAAAGTTCCGAAATGGAAATCAGCCGAATATGGGGTCTCGAGCCCTGGGTTGTGTTCCGCAAAATTGGTGTAAGAACTTGGATAAACCTCCAGATCATTAAAAAGAGTGGGAAGTGCAAAACATTGCTTTATTAAGAAGAGGCCACATTCTGCGCAAAGTAGAGGCACCGACAGTTTATGGATCTACTCTTCAAAATGTTGTTTGCAACCCGTAGTAGAATTTATATTCAACCGACTCATAACATCTTTCGGTCATTTATCTCATTCATGATAAACGATGTTATTTAATAGTAATGCATGATCATGTAAACATCTTCGACCTACACGAGTTTCGACCTACCATCTTCGACCTACACGACAGGAATTTCTTCAGTTCATTTTGGTGAAAATGTTTTCTGGTCTCATGTTTATATAAAACGATGGTCAATAAATACATTTTGTATATAAATAGAAATTACAAACTTCGGAAAACACGTTTGTTCGTAACTAATTAAAGTGATCCCTGTTTCGTTTTTATCTGTCGAGGTCATTTACCTGATTTGCATTTAATGTGAATAGCAATCGGGTATATTCTTCTACGTGAGGAACTTAAAATTTTCAATTACACGTAGTTGAGTGTGGGGTAGCGAATTTTGAAAAAGCGATACGGTATTAAATGATTAATGCGCGATTTAATTTCTCCACAAATTGTGTCCTCTCAATGCTAGCCCACGCGCGTAGGGCCATTGTTGAAGCTATTTGGGAGCATGTGGGAGCCAATTAATTTTCATATTGTTAAATTATAATAACAGAGCGCTATAATTCCATTCAGCCATTCATCTGAATCATAAATAGTTCGAGCGGCAATCAGGTATGTTCTACTACGTGAGAAACCTTATGTTATAATTCTGAATTATACAAAGTTGAACGCGAGGTAGCAAATTTTGTAGAAGTGTCATGGTGGATCTGGATACCGTATGAATAATATTGTTCAAAATAATGTCAGAAATTCTTCTTTTTTTGTTATTTTTGAAATTGTTATTTTTTTGATACTCTATGGAATGTTGCAATCATTTTAAGGACTCACAAATGATAAATTTGAGCAGTTCTGTCCTAAAATTGTTTGAATTATTCTATCCTGAAAAATAATTTGGATTTTTATGTGCTAACCGTGGGCTTCGTCAGTATAGAATGGGATTAACTTCCCTCGTTCAGAATCGCATTAACATTTTGAGGAGCCCTAAGGATGTTCAAATTATGTGTCCCCTAATATATAAAGCTTGGATTTACATTCGTGAGAGCGTATGGACCAATACGGATTATGTATTCTATTTGATTCTCGTATCGTTATTTTTTTCCTCGAGCTTTTTCGTGCTTCAGGGGATGCCGATTTCGGCTCTCCGCACCGGGTACCCACTATTTCCCTCATGGAAACACGTATTAACCTTTACACTAGACCCTGACACACATGCGGGCTCCTCGGTCTGTGGTCAGCAGACTCACAAGGCCTTCTGCGACAACACACATGCATGAAAGACAAGGGACAAACAGCAATGCCCCGGGACTCGAACTAACGCCCCTTCGGGCCGAGGCGCTGTGTCCGCACACGCTCCAGCCACCTCGACCACCCAGGACGGCTTGTGTCGTTCTTCTTGTATAGTTGGAAAACCGAAGATTTTTGCTTTTAAGACCATAATTGTGGCGCATTATGGCTTTGTAACGTGTTACACCTTTATATGCTTGGACCATGAACCCCTCATTAACAATAATTATTAATGGCAATTTAAATGTGAATTTGGCTGGATATATTTTTACTTTTAAATACTTTATGTACTTATTTGACTAAATAATTTAAAAAGTGAAATAGATTGCAATTATCCGCAATAAGTTTTTAAGAAGTTGGATTTTTTGTTTTTATAATAAATGAATTTATTATATGATTTACCATCCAGGATACGAATGGTTACCTAAGGTCAAACTTCAGAACGGTGAGATCAGTTTAGTAATATCAGTTATTAGAACACAAGTATTCGAATAATCTGTGACATTAGATGAACTATTATGAATATCAGTCTGTAGCATATGTCGTGATGAAAAGTGATAGTTAACCGAAAAATGTAGTTCATATTAATTTTTAGAAAGTGAATAAAACGCTCTACGCTATATGAACCAACCACAACGAAATATTTGTTCATTCATATTATGGAGTATACAACAAGATATCAGCTACCACCAATGAACGTTATATCATATTCGTATCGTAACATCATATACAATATTCGATTGGTTATGAAACTCGCCCTACCGGTTTCATTCGTTAATTCTCCGAAGTCGAAACTCGTTCTATAACAAGATGTCTTACGATACTTATTTTGTAAATAACTGTAATTGTTATTTATATACAAAATATTACTTTTGTGTCTAACAATGTTGTTGAGGAAGCAGAACCAATAAGGAAACAGTACTTCCATGCCTTAATAATTACGAACAATATTAAAAACCTTACATTAAAAAATGTCGATATAAAATACGTTTGATGTACAGACGCAGACATTTAAATCAGCGATCAACGACCGAAGTGAACACTCACTTAGTGTTTTTCTATTGTCAAAAATGTTTAAAAATCGGGTATATTAAAGCCCGCTGCATTGGTCGTGGACTTTGTGTAGTTAGTTCGTTGTTCTGGATTTTAGCGCACATTTATTTACACCAATATCAAAAGAAATATTTATATTAATGACGAAGTATAAATGCTTCTCTAAAATTCATTGGGGTCCCAATCCATCGGAGGCACTTAGCTGTGTTTACGTCAGAGCAATTACTTGTCGCTAGGAGGTCAGTCACACTCGATGCGAGGCCGGATAATCGAAAGGACGTGTTTTTCCCATGGCGCTGTGCGCGGGGCGGCGGCGCGCGGAACGGTAATGGCCGCCTGCCCGCGCCGGGGAGGGGGAGGGGCGGGGCCAACGGCTGGCGGGTGGGGGGCGCTGCACCGGCCGCAGGGTGGGGGAAGGCGGGATGGAGCCCCCGCCCCGGACCGCCCGGCCGCGTTTTCCACCAATCCGGCGCCGCGCTCGCGTGTAAGCATGGCGGCGGGACCCGTCATTATTATGATTATTATTATCATCATCGTCAACTGCAACACCGGGAGCCATTTTGAAGGCGAGGGATGAAACATTCCCGACTGCCTTTTTTAATTTATTTTTTTTGTGTGCTCCTCGCGGCGTTTGTTTTCGGTGGAAATGAAATTCGCTTCCAAAGAGCTTCGTTCTGTTTGGAGATACGATCGGAGGAGGGTTGCAGACGTTGGGGGCGCCGGAAGGCTTTTAATAAGTGGACGGCCTGGGAGGCCCTGGACGCGGTAATTGGCCCGCGCCCCTGCGGCGCCCCTGCGTGGCCGCTGCAGCGGATGGGAAAATATCGCTTTTAATTTCTATGCCAGGGAGCGGGCTGTTGCACGGAAAATACATTTGAGGTAGAAAAATACATCAATCTTCAGCTGTTGGTTCTCTTTTGTAATCGTACATTCGATAATAAACAGTTTCATTGGCAATTGTAAAAATTTAACATTTTTCATGTACATCGGAAATAAATGTATGTTCGCTCCTTTACATTACAGTCGCCTAAGACTAAAATGTTCAGAATAAGAATTTTCTATGTGATAAAATTCTCTTTTGTCGCTCGAATAACTTTAGGAATTAAAACAAATCATCAAAATAAAAGTCGTTACATATTTGTTGGCATACACAACCGTTTACTTAAATCATTATAGTTGATAAAGAGTTTTAGTTTCGAGATATCTATACCCCAAATATGACCATGCAATGAATGCAACTTCCCTTTATAATGCTTTACACCTAGTATACACATATGCTTCCAGAGATTCTCAGTACCTCTAGAATTTTAAAAGCTTTTTTGAATATTTAGTAGTAAACAGAGTTAAGTAATGTTTCAAAATCCGATGTCGATATTTAAACGGAAATACTATTTTTTGGAGTCCCTGACCGCGATAGTGTTTTTTAGGTTGCCAATTTTATCCATTCTTACATGCAGTTCTCAGCAAATAGAATTGTTAGTTTGGATTCAGTGGTGAGGCGTCCGATTATTCATAGATGCGGCAATGTCTATGCAAAATAGTAAAAATATTGCGTTTTAAATATTTTATACAGTAATTTGATAATTAATGAATAGATGATTATAGTTAAACGATATTAATTACCGAAACAACAGAAAAATTGTCATATAACAATAAGACGTGTTAAGGCTTTTCTCTCTTCTCTATGAAGTAAACACAGACTTGCACTGAAATAAATAATTTATTAAAACAGAACACCTTGACGGAAAGGAGCGTGCGTGCTGACTCAACCTTCCCGTTTACATCTCTTTTCAAGAACGCTCTCCGACACACCCGCGCGCGCGCACACACACACACACACACACACACACACACACACGCGCGCGTCTCCTCTTCGCTTCTCGTCTACTGACCTCCAAAACAATGACATTCCTTACAGCCCCCGGGCAGCCTGTGAGTCGTGCATCTCTAGTCGGGGGCGGCTCCTGCCCAGTGCACCCGCCTCTTGCTACGCCTCCAAACTAGTCCCCCTCCCCCGAGTAGAGGGCGCCACAAGGAGATAGCAAAGAAATCGCTCTACACCCTCGATGGGTCAACCGGACGCAGCAGTTCCTTTTGGGGCGCGTACTATCGCACGGCGATGCTCGTTCCTTGTGTTAGGCGCCATTCGACCATGAAGGGCGGTGGGAGGATTTCGTCCATGCCTGGCGAAAAGAGGGAATCGAACTCTCAGAATGAACCTGTGAGTAAACCGGTACGATGTTGTGAGCGCGCCCTGCTATTTGGACGCACTAACTGAGTTACAGTTGTATTATCAGGGTTCTATTAATTCTCTTGCTTTGTGGGCAAACGTTTCTTTGCCCTTCCTTGGGCGGTTCTCTTGCGCTCGCATCTCGACAGGCCGGCCTTGAGCGCGTTGTATCTCCTTGGTCTGCTTGCTCCGCGAATGGGGCGATTCAGACCGTGACCCACTTGGCAGAGCGAGTCGCCGAGCTGCTTCGCTCATCTTAGGAGTAAGAAGGCTCAGTTGAACGCCACGCGGAATGAAGCGAAGATCGCACTGCAATCGCAGAGCCGTGAAGAAAGTCTATATTTCTGTATCAACACTCTTTGTGATTCCCGGCATCACGTCCTACCTACTGAACGTAGGTTTATTGTTTCATTTGTGAATATTCTAGATGAAAATAATGTTTCCTTACTTGACTTATAAATGTATTCACGATAACTGCCTCTTAACCACAGAAAAATGGAAAAAGCTACTATTACACTAAGTCTTCTTCGCTAAGTCTGTTTTGAAACATTCTGATGTCATTGTGACGTCGTCAGGTTCCAGACACATAAGAGGACATGAAATATATTTACATAAAGCAAACATATTGCAATATTATATTATAGAATATGGAAGGAACTCGTCCCGGACTGCTTGCCGCAATCCACTCCCGAAAGCATGACCGGTCCAGCGTTGGCGATTCCCGCGAATGGGCCGCTTGTGAGCACAATATGTGTTACATTGCTGCGTGGGCAGCCCCCACATCTCCGAAGCGGGCGCATTCGCACGGATGGAATATCCGCTGGGCGAATTTCGTGCGTCGACTAGCAGATCCCACTGCAACTGAATCTCGCGGCGCTACCCGTCTGGCCTCCTTACGCACCCGAGGCGTCACGTGACTGACGTTCATGTCGACAACATCCTGTTAGCCCGCGAGGTATTACATGACCCCTACGCTATCACGTGATCCGCGCTGCTGGACCGGCCTGTCGCCACCCCGTCCGGTGGTTGGTTTCATTCCTGACCCGCGTAACTGTTATATCTGGTTTCTGCTATTTTGACAAATCCAGGAAAAACGTTGTGAAAGCTAAAACGAGCGTGCTGGATTACGGACGAAGGTGGCTCAGGGCATCATTTGATGTCATTGCTCTGAATGGGGAATTGTAGGGTTCGACTCCCGACAGTGGCAGGATTTTCGACACTAACTCGAGGGCTAGGTCGAGTTCAGCCGCAGTGTGGAGGAGATTTGTAGCGACCGGCTGCTCAGGTCGTTAGTTATCCGTGGTTTCACCGATAAGTACTAGGCGAATTCCGGAGCAGTACCTAACAAATGGACCACGGGCCTATCGTATCTATTCTTCCTTTTCTTGTCCTATCCTCACCCTTACTTACACGCACACACGGGCGCGTGCACACACACACTAACATGCACTAGACTACCACACATGCCGGGAGAGTAGAGCTTTTCTCAGCTAGAGCAGTACCCCGCATGTGGGTGATGCATGGTTGGGAGTCCCCCACGACAGAGCAATCCCTACACTTTTGGGAGTAGCAGTTGGGGGGGGGGCGCCCGGCAACCCGACCTGACCAATGCATGAAGTGGAGCGCGCGCTCAGGTGCCGCACGGGCGGCGCGGGCGCTGCGACGTGGAGCTGTGGTGGGGCCGCGCGGGCGGCGACACCAAGGCCCTGAGCCACCGCGTGCCCTTCGACACCGTGGTGCGGCCCGGCGCCGCCGCGCCCCCGCCGCCGCTCGCAGGTACCGCGGGAGAGGTCCTTGCTTCCTCCCAGCAGCGCCAGGCGAATGCCCGAGCAGCTGGAGCAAAGGACTCGTTCTCGCTGAACTCTCTGAATGTTGAACATCGCAAAAGCTATAAATAGGGCTAAGCACCACGAGCTTTAAATTAAGGTGTATAGCAGGATTTTTGCAAAAATCTACTACAACATACTCGTATAATGACCAGATCTTTGTAAATATAAAATGTTTCAGTTTTATTTTCAGAAACATGTTTAACTCAATGTTGACAGTGAATACTGATTGTACACCGAAAGAAAAGAACCATTGGAGCTTACCAGATCCATGATATTGTTACAAGGAAACTTGTTACAGTATCATGCATCTGGTATACACAAACGGTTATTTTTTTTCGGTGTATTGTATCAGAATTTGTAAATGTCTCTTGTTTCGTTAGTCTTCGAGAATTAATAGTGTAACAATGTTTTTGGACTTTTCGATTTACCGTATAATGACAATGAAGAACTTGTCTAACTCACAAGTCCAGTTAGTTGAAATTTATTTGCAAATT